CAAGGCTCGCAATTTGAAGCGCAGCTGTTCGACACATTAACTAAACTCATTGGCTCTAAACGTTGTCGGACAACTGCATACCATCCGGAGTCTAATGGCATCATCGAACGATGGCATCGCTCTCTAAAAACAGCATTAATGTGTCACGGTGAAAGTCAATGGACTGAGAACTTGTCTCAAAGAAGATCTAGGCGCTTCGGTAGCGGAATTAGTGTACGGCACTACGCTCAAGGTACCAGGTGAATTTTTCTCCTCTGAAGAAATGCCGAGCGACCCACGAATTTTCGTCGAGGATTTCCGCGTAATTATGCAAAAGTTGCGGCCTAGACCAACTTCTCATCACATTAGACCTAAGTTATTTTTCCACAAAGATTTGTATAATTGCTCTCACATTTTCTGCAAAGTTGAAGGCAACAGAAGGCAAAGTTGTCCTCTGGATCAACCATATACCGGACCGCATAAAGTACTAGAGCGCATCTCGGACCAAGTCTTCGCCATTGAAATCGACGGCAAACCCAGCAACATCACGGTCGGCAGACTTAAGCCCGCGTACGTACTAATCCAAGACTCGGAAATTACTCCGTCCACTGCATCTTCGTCTTCAATTGACATTTCAGTGCAAGGTGAACCAAAAACATATCCTAGTCCAGCAGCAAAGCGAAAGACTGTTAGATTTAAGATGTAATTCGCGCAATATTACGCTAAGCAAATCAATATGTACAAGTTCTGTTTTTTCCATTTATTTTTATTTTTTTTTTGTTATTCTCGTTCTAGCGATATCTTAACCAGTATTTCTTTCTTTAACGTTTACACTGGGAGGGGAGTACTGTGGCGTTGCGAGCGTCAGTCACGGCGCTGCATGCGTCCGTCGCGGCGCTGATACTGTCGTTCTTTTCGCTTCTTTTTCCGTTCACTCTCTCTCTCTCTCTCTCTCTCTCTCGTGTCATGGCGTGCCGCGTGCGGACCTCGTGTAAGTCTCTGCGATAGCCAGTAAGTTAGAACTCAGAAGTTGAGGTTCCGAATTACTTTGTGTATTCCGCGAGACCGATATCGATCACTGTTCATGTCTGTGATAATTGTTAGTGTCGTCATATAATTTCTTAGAGTGTATTTTCATAGTTCTTGTATTGTAACTCCGCAACACAATGCCGGTATCCGTCTTATAGCGCAATCACGTCTCTATTTTCTAATTCATATTTGTATTTATTATTTAGTTAGTTAGATATTAAGTGTGTATTAAATCGTCTCATGGCATAAAAATCAGAAGCAGTTAGTAGCACTCATTCTCAACCTAACGATTTCCAGTCAATTGTCCTTCGCCTTTGGTTGGTAACCATCGGCGTTATATTGCACAGCAGTCGCTCCAATAGCCACACTCGTGTGTTTGCTAGAATGGCAAGACATGTTTTTGAAAGGTGTGTGTCCAAACTTTTGAGCCCAATAGATGGCATTCGTTCGAAGCGTAACAAAGAGTAACTTTTTTTGCGTTGGAGATGGAATTTATTCCAAAAAAGCAACATTTGCGGGAAGTTTTACTCCATTATTTTATTTTAAAGAAAAGTGCTGCGGAAACGCATCGTTTGCTCGTAGATATTTACAGTGAGCATGCTCCATCGAAATCTAGTTGTAAAGAATGGTTTCGGCGATTCAATAGTGGTGATTTTGACGTGCGTGACAAAGAACGCGAAGGTGCACAGAAAAAATTTGAAGATGCAGAATTGCAAGCATTACTCGAAGAAGATTCGTGTTTATCGCTCGATAGGTTGGCAAAAGAGTTAAATGTTGATAGATCCACTGTTGGAAAACGTCTACACGCAATGGGAATGGTGCAAAAAGAAGGAAATTGGATGCCATACAAATTGAAAGAGAGAGACATGGAAAGACATTTGGTCATCTGCGAGATGCTTCGTCAATGACAACAAAGGAAGGGTTTTCTACATCGTATCGTCACTGGCGATGAAAAATGGATCTACTACGATAATCCTAAACGCTTGAAGGCATGAGTGATGCCAGGTGAACCATGTCCATCAACGCCAAAACGAAATATCCATGTTTCGAAGATTATGTTGTGCATCTAATGGGATCAAAGAGGTATTATATATTATGAGCTACTCAAACCGTCCGAAATCATCACTGGCGATTGTTATCGGCTACAACTGATACATTTAAACTAAGCTTTGAAAGAAAAACGACCGGAATGGGACAATAGGCACAACAAGCTGATTCTGTTACATGACAACGCTAGGCCACACGTTGCAAAACCGGTCAAGAAATACTTGGAAGGAGTAAAGTGGGAAATTCTGCCCCACCCGCCGTATTCACCAGACATTGCCCCTTCAGATTTCCATTTGTTCCGATCCATGCAGTCGGCCCTTTCTGGAAAACGATTCAATTCTTACGAAGGTATCAAAACATGACTTGATGAATGAATCGCTTCAAAAGAACCAGATTTTTTCATTCGAGGGATTCGTTTATTACCGGAAAGATGGGAGAAAGTTGTTGCTTCCGAAGGAGCATACTTTGAATAAACTCACTTATATAGATTTGTTTAAATAAACACATCTTTTTCATTTAAAAAGGGCGGAAACTTATTCCCATACCCAATATATTAAGCCGGTTCTACATTAATTGCAAGCTGATTGCAAGTTGCGACAATATGAAGCTTGCATTTTGAAATCAACGCTTCATATTGGTTGTCGCAACAACTTGCGATTAATTTGCAACTAATGTAGAACCGGCTTAAGAGAGAACGACCCAAAACCTGTAACCGTAAAAAGCTGATGCATTACTACCCTCTGACAAAGTGGATGTAAAATTACATAACAACGTTCACTTTTCTTAGGGTACAGTCAATTACTAAAAGATTGCAACACTTTTTAATTCGATGTGGTGTTGCGAGCGTTGATTGCGGCGCTGCGAGCGCTAGTTGCGGCGCTGCGAACGTTCGTCGCGGCGCTGAAGTTGGTCCTTCTTTCCGGCTCTTCCTCCTTTCGCTGTCTCTGGTGTCATGGCGTACTGCGTGCGGACCTCGTGTAAGCCTTTACGATAGTTAATAAGTTAAAAGTCGGAAGTTAAGGTTCCGAATCACTTTGTGTTCACTGCAAGATCGATATCGATCACCGCTCATGTCTTACGATAATTGCGATAATTGTTGTCGTCGGATAAATACTCAGTGTACATTTTCTTAACTTCCCGTATTCTAATCTAGCAACGCAATACCGGTATCCGAGCCGTCTTACGCACGCAATCATGTCTCTATTTTTATAATCTATATTTGTTAAATAATTAGTCAAGTTTGTATTAAACCGTCTTATGGCATAAGAGTCAGAATCAGCGAGTAGCATTCATTCGTAACCTAACGATTTCCCGCCAATTGTCCATCGCCGTTAGTTGGTCATCGCCAGCGCCCATACACTCTCGGCGCCATATTGGGCACAGCAGCCGCACCAATAGCCACATCGATGGTTTTTGGAATGCACAAAAATTCTGACAGAGCAGACCACCACCTCTGAATGTCTATAGTCAGCGGTTATGATGGATTATGATAACTGTCAAAGTGATGCAGTTTTGTACACGGTGAAATAAAAAAAAAATGTATTTGTGCACAGGCGAAAATTCTTTTCTTTCTTAGGCCGGGTTCACATCTTGATGGAAAAGCGGAAAGCGGAAAAGCGAAAGCCAATCGGAACTCGCAGTAATAGTAGGCGGTACATTTCGTCTGCTTCTGTTTTTCGGCGAATTCTGATTGGCTTCCGCTTTTCCAATTTCTGTTTTTCCGTCAAGGTGTGAACTCGACCTTAAGATATTCTTCGGATATCATAAAATATATCGTGGTAAGTAATAATAAAGTAAATATTAAATTTGTTTTATAAATTTATTTATGTATTTTTCAAAAATAACATGTTTATTATTTTTAAAAATTCAAAAATCAAAGGTAATATTATAACATAATATTATTATATAATATTATTATATATTTAACTCAATAATAATAATACACAAATTCGCTTTCGCAACAAATTCAACGATCTATTGTTTCTCTGTCGGGATGATCAATTCCAGTGAGCCTGTGGTATCAAGGCAAAATGGAAGAACTGTATATAGTCCTTCGCCCACGCATCTGCTGCCGATGTCACGGGCTATCAGAAGCAATTTTCCTGCACTTCTAAGGGAATATGTAAAAGGATTGACTGAGTTCTATCTAAATTACGTATTAATATAATCATTTATTTTTTGATATTATATTTGCTGATGCTTTATATTTTAATTATGTATTTTTAATTTATACTAATGTTTTAATTAAGTTACATATTTCTACCTGCAATGTCGATGAGTAATAAGAGCAATGGATCTCCTTAACTTCTTTACTGTTATTGCGTTGGCATAAGATATTAGGATTCTAAATAAGTAATTAATATAAAAAATAATATAAATAAATAAAGTAATAAAATAATAGAAATATAAGTAATAAAACAATTATTAAATAATAATTGATGTAAATAATATATATATTATTTAATATATTATTTTATTCAGAGTATCTTCAATATATTAAATATATCTGCAATATATCAAATATATTTTTTAAAATTTATGTTAGATACAAAAACATTAAAGGATATCTTACATGAACATAATCTTGAAATTTCTGTATGTTAATCCAGTATTTGCATACGCCAATATTTCTACTCTTAAATATTTCACCTCTAATATGCTGTGGAATAAAGCCAGGCACTTTTATGTTATTTATAATTGACTTATTTGCCAAATTAAATGAAAGTAAATATCAAAAACAATTGAATTTAACAAAAATAATTGAATTTAATTGAATAATATAAAAATATAGTTAAATATTACAGTATACAACTACTAGACATATACAGAAATTTCAAAATTATGTAACGTTAATGTAAGACATCCTTTAATATGTTTGTGTGATATTGTATCTAACATTAATTTACACAAATATATTTGATATTTTGCAAAAGAGCACAATATACAGATTAATCCGGCAATTCGAAACAGAAGGTCATATAAATTCTCGGCCGATACCAGAGCGTCCAAGACACATAATGATCAGCAGTTATTAAACTTACTTTCAGTTCAAGAGTCCGGATTGTGTTCAGTTATTATTATTATTGAGTTAAATAATAATATTATGTTATAATATTATTATTACTTTTAATTTTAATATTACTTTTAATTTTTGAATTTTTAATAATAATAAACATGTTATTTTTGAAAATATAAATACATTTATAAAATGAATTTAGCGTTTACTTTATTATTATTTACCACGATATATTTTGTGGTATCCAGAGTATCTTAAGAATTTTCCGCTGCGCACAAATACATTTTTTTCATTTCACCGGGTACAAGATGATTCTGTATCACTTTGACAATTATCATAACCACGGAGTATTAAGGAATAAAATCTCTGCTTCCAAAAGTCCCCGTTTCGATTGTCAATATGGCGTCAAAAACGACCCACACTTTCCGGTTTGTGACATCAGCGTCTGCGCATTGCTTACCTTGCAGTAAATTGTAGAAAATGAGAAAACGCGTATATAGTTCGTAATTGCCGAAATGGAAATGCACCAAAAAACGAAACAAAGAAATGAGAATTAAGAATAAAAGTCTTTTTATAGCATTTAAAGTAAGAAAGAAAATACTCATTACATTTTGTAAGGTTATGTGCAATTACAATATTTATGGTTATTCTTTTTTATTAGGACAAAAATTTATTGGATCGTTGGACTTCAAATTTAAGTCAGTTGAAGAAGCCACTTACTGAATATTGTTTTGTATGTAAGAAACATTTCAGCATCGAAGATGTTTTTCATTCAAACGATATTTTACTGAGTGATGATACAGTACATCGTACTGAAAGAATATAGTACCGAAATTAAGACCAAATGCTATTCCAATAGTTGCCGAGAATTATTTAGAAAGGAAGTCCAATGCTGAACATCAACCTTTTATAGCAGATACGGTAAATTTGACCGGTGACGATTGTGATGATGTAAATATAGAAATACCGTCCTTGATCGATAACGTTACTCCTCAGAGAAACGACAATTGTGAGTAAGATGTAGAATCATCCACCGCAGAAGATATCCTGAAAAATTAAACTTTGAAATGTTAGTGTCAACATATTCGAACATATCGCTTCCAAGTCGTTCATGGGATGTAATCGAAAATGAAAATGGAAAATCTTTAACATTTTTAACAGTTGACAAAAATGAAGTGTTACATCTTTAAATTTATGATAATCTAAGTGTGCAAGTGTTTCTGGATGATATTCCGATTAGGATAAAATATGTGCCGAGTTCTGAAACATGTGTAGAGTTACAGAAAGATATCGTTAACATACTTCATCTCATTTATAATATGAAAGTATGAAAGAATTTCAAAGATGCGAAAAGGTTATTGAAAAAATAATTAATCTAATTATATACAAACCTGTATATATAAACTTTTGTATTAAATTAATTATTTAATGTGTATGTAATACTCGGACAGTGTTAGGCGATACTGTTGGCCGCTGTGGAAATGAAGTATCTGTTACAATTATATATACGAAAATTATTAATATGCATTCGGCATTTGATTAATTCTGACAGGATGAAGTGGCGATGTGATGGCGATGTGATCTACAAAAGAACAATTTTAGTTATATTATGCAAGAAGTGCACTAATAAAAATAGAAGATTAAGGAATTTAAATTGCTGGAGACGAAAATAAATAAAATAACAAGATCAAAAGAATTATTATTGCACTAAAATAAACGTCTCAAAAATAAGGTAAATATATACTGCATAAATCTCATAATGTAAAACTGTATTTCTAACTACATGTAGATTGTTATTGTATTTGTAGTGCGATACTAAAAAAGAATTAACATTCTTAATGAAAGAATGTGTCAAAAAACAAGATTCCTTTGTTGCAAAAGCAATTGAAGACTTGCCGGAGGCTCAAATAATTATAATTTAAGAATGTTTTTCAGCCGTAAAAAAAGAAGGAAAAGGAAGAGTCATCGGTATACTCTGACTGGATATACGAGTGCATACTTATGCAAATTAAAAGCCTTGCTTTATATGAACATTTACGCAGGAAAGATATTCTGCCCCTTCCAACTCAACCAACGTTATTGAAATACATTAGCTGTTTTTCTCTCGGTTTTGGATTTAAAGAGACACTATTCAAAATTTGAGAGTAAAGCAGCATCCATGAGTATGCAACAAAAGAGAGGTAATATTTGCAAAAATATCATTTTGTATATTTATTATTTATTATCTTTCTTTTGCTATGAATACAGCTGGCACGAAAATACTTGTATATTGCATTTATATATTTTTTTCAGGAGCACTATTAATAGATGAAATGAAATTCCGAAGGGGTTTCATTCAATACCAAAAGTATGGAAATCATTGGATATCACTGATTTAGGGAAGAACATTCTTACCGGGGGCGATGAATCAGGCGACCAATGTTTTTATGTTCCAACCTTTTCAAGGCAAATGGATTTAGACACTCAGATGTTTTTTGTCAAGAGGTTGTGCGTCCGGAGCAATATTACACAAATTGATAATAGAATGCGTTGCTTTATTGGAAGACGCAGGATTTTATACTGTTGTAGTCACAAATGGTGCATCATGGAATCGTACATGTGGAAGAAATTTGGCATGGATGAACATACATGTTCCTGCAAAAATCCCATAGATGATACTAGGCAGTTGTGGTTTGCATTAGACTGTTCGCATCTCATCAAATGTTTCCGCAATTGTGTTGTTCAACAAAAGATCAGTAAGAATTGAAGACAACTCGTTATTAAAAATACATAAATTCCGCATCTTCCCATTCTGCACTATCACTCAAGACTTCTTTGTTTGAATCTTCTTCAGAATCTTCTCCAGATTGGATAAATTTAACTTTATTATTCTTGATCTTATCTTTGTGCTTTATTTGGTTTTCTTCCTTTATTGATTCTTCAAATCTTACATCTCGTGCGATTATTATTTTTCTTTCTTCCTGATTCTAGAATATATAGCCATTCGGCTATATATATAAAATATATAGCGTAACTAACGAAAAACAATTTTTTTATTCATTTTTTTAAATTTTTTTAAGCGATCCTAATACTTTTACATAAGCCAAATTTCCAAAAACTTGCAAAAATTTTAAATTTGGTTACTTTTTTCCCCAAGATTCGTATGGAGTATACGTATACGTATACAATTTAAGATACTTACAGATAATCTATTTAAGATATTAGTAGTACAATATAGAGCTTCTCCCCACATTTCTTTATCTAGAGAAGAATCAAACAATAGTATTTTATCTAACAATATTCTGTTTAATCCTTCAGCTTTATCATTAAGTTGAGGTGTATATAATGTTGTGTTATCCAACATAATTCCTCTGTTTTTGCACCATCTTTGAATCTTCATTTATGTACTCCTTGCCATTATCACATCTTATTTTTAACACTTTAAGATTCCAGTGTGCTTCCACTCTTTTTACATATTTCTTTAAGTGATCTTGCACTTCAGACTTTTTCTCAAGAAGATAGACTATTGTGTAACAAGTATAATCATCTTTAAGCGTAAGAAAATATTTTTTTTTATTCCAGGTTTATAGGATCACATAAATCCGTGTGGATAATTTGAAGTGGTCTTTCTGCTTTTGACCTCATATTGGTAAACTTCAGTCTTGTTTGTTTTGCTTTTTGACAGATTCTACAGATATTCTTGAGTTTTTCCAGGTGTTTCAGAGATAGCTTAAATCCTTCACAAAGATTTGTTGCTTTTTTCATCTTCTCTAAACCTATATGTCCAAGTTTTTTATGCCATAGCCTTGCAATGTTCTCGCTATTTTTTGTTAGTAAAGATTCTTTACTAACTTTACTAACTTTTCTTTGTATTCTGATGTCAAATTTATTTGATAAAGTTTATTAGTTAATTTCTTACCCTTTAATTTTACTTCATGATTAGATTTAATTATTACTTCTTCTTTTGTGAAAATCATTTCTCCTCCATTGTTAGTGATTGAATTCACTGACAGTAAATTAGCACTTAGATTGAGCATACAGCACCTCCTTCATACTACAATCATCGAAATCTATTAGGTGTTGGAATTAATTCGTAGCGTTTTTTAATGAAAGAATGTTATTTATTTCACATGAGCATTAAAAAATACATTAATGAAAGTACTTCCCATCACTTGTAAAACGCTACGAATTAATTCCAACACCTAATATTTTTTCTATATCTTTAGCATTGTTTCTTCATTTTTCGCTACATTAATGATTGTACTTGAGTTTCTTAATTCCTTAAAAAATTTCTTACTATTTGTCATATTACATGTGCTTCCCAAATCTACTATCCATGAAGACTCATCAACCATGCTGCTTGTTAGTAATGCTACTTTATTAAAATCAGTTTGTTTTTTATCTCTAAAGAAACAATCTTTTTCTTTATTATTATTATTTTTTTTTACATATATTGCATCTTTTCTCATTTGAATTTTCTTCTTTGCAAAATTTGACAAGATGTCCGATTGTATTAGGTGTTGGAATTAATTCGTAGCGTTTTTTAATGAAAGAATTATTTATTTCACATGAGCATTAAAAAATACATTAATGAAAGTACTTCCCATCACTTGTAAAACGCTACGAATTAATTCCAACACCTAATATTACATTTGAAACAACGTATCTGTTTCTTATCCTTCTGTATTTCTTTAAATTTACAGAACTTTTCAAGATGTCCTATTTTATTGCAGATGTTGCACTTTTTCTGAAAAACTTTGAATGCTATCGCTTCTTCCTCTTCTTTAAGATGAAATCTTTGCTCTTCTCCTAAGAATCTAGCTACTAAAATACTTATGAAATGAGAATATTCCTTTAGCAGAGTTGCTAATAGCTTCGAAATTATCATTTTGTCATCTATTTTTGCTTTGATCGCATTTAACCTGAAAGCTAAATTTTTAACTTTCCTAATATAAGCTGACATATCCATGTTTTTACTAAAGAATACACTATAAAATTGTTGCAAAAATTTACATCTCTGCTGCTCTGTATCCCTTTCATATGTATTACAAATTTTTGTCCACTTATCATAGGGCATACTACAATCCATTATATTTAAAAAAGGTTTTTTATCTAACGTAGAAATTATTATTTTTTGTGCGATAGCATCTTTAGCCACACATCAGTTCTTTTATCTTCTGGTGTGTGAATAGTCGCCATTTGTAATACTTCATTCGCTCTAAATAGAACTAATATTTGGAATTTCCAAATTTTCAAATTTTTTCAGCACCTGCTAATTTTTCAATATTGAAATAGTCTACTACTTTAGTCATTTTATGATTTTTATAATTTATTAATTTTAATTTGTTTAAACAATTTTGAATGCTTTACTTTATATCTTAGCTTCACCTCTTTTAACTTCGCTTATTTTAATTACAGGAAATAATTACTCTTTTAATTAACGAAGTAAATATCTTAAACTTAGTTAAGTAGATATCTTAAACCAATTTTCTCACAGCTATATTTTTCTATTTCCCTTTTTTACGCTTTCAATTTAGCAATATTCTATTTTTCTCATTAGTTTTAATTTTATTCTTTAATTATTACTTTCATGTTTCTTATATTCTTATTTATTATTTTGACTTTCACAATTTGCATACCCTCTTTTTATATATATATATATCTCTTTATAAAATTAAGATATTTACTCTTTTTTTTAAACTATTAAAAAAAAACAAGCGTTTTCCTAGCAACCTAATAACGATTATACTTTCAATATAAATTTTATTTTTTTTAATTTCTTTTAATTATTCTTTTAATTTTATTTCTCTCTCTTATAATCCTTTCTGTGTCTTTTTCTATATTATCAACTTTCTTTGAAGCCACTATTTTCTCGGCCCATAAATGTTATTAGGTGTTGGAATTAATTCGTAGCGTTTTACAAGTGATGGGAAGTACTTTCATTAATGTATTTTTTAATGCTCATGTGAAATAAATAACATTCTTTCATTAAAAAACGCTACGAATTAATTCCAACACCTAATAAAATAAACTTTTAATAAAAGAATTTAACTTCTTTTATATGAAGATTCTTGTTTTATAAATTAGAATTTAATTAGAATAATATTTCAAGTCGATAAAAAGAAAAAAGACAAGAATACGATCAGAACATAGAACTTGATGATACAATATCAACAGAAATAGTCTTGATATACAATATTAAATTAATTAACAAATACAAAAATTACTACATAAATGTCTTACAATGAGTAAATATAATTCTAAACTTATCTGAAAGGACAGAACTATCGCTATTGCAAAGCCTCACAATCTCTATGACCAAGGTTCGCCTGGTTCGCTAGAAAAAGGGACGAGAGAGCAACAGCGATATTCAAACTCTTCTCTAAAACAAAAAGCAATTCAACGCCATCTCTAATAATCAGTTTGACGTGATTACCAACTAAATAAAATTCTTATTTCAACAATGTTATCAAATAACATTATTTGATAATACTATATAATCTTATTTTCAATATTTTCAGACGCCAGATGGAGTCATTCGTATAGCGCATGTGGGAATAAGTGACTCGATTGATGAGTTAAATTCTCAAGACAAGACCACACTTGTCGTGTGATGTGATATATAAGGTGTAATGATCGACACTTTTTTTGTGACTAATAATGATGAATTTTATTACTCGAGCTCGAATGAATATGACCGTACAGGATGAACGCCATAATCTATCTTACTTCTTATTTTTCTCTGACGCTGCTTGTAGACAACTCGCAACCTAAAAATCCCTAGGCTTCCTCCGCTCGCTGTGCTAATAAGGCATTGAGAACGTAGTTCCCTACATGCGTGTAAAAAGTATGTTTTACACTTATAAAATGAAAGATATTGAATGTAAAAAATTCCGTTTATAAAAATATAGATTTTCGAAATATCTACAAAATGAGACATGGAACATTAAAATCGATCTATTAGTTTAGTAGGAAAAAAAATAAAAAACACTGAAAAAGGTTTTTTTCATTCGCTTTGTATTTATTAAGATTTAAACGCAAAACTTTTGAAATTTTCGTTAAATGTAGCCCTATAATGACGAACAAATCTAGCTCTGAACGAGCCTGAAATATTTATTAGTTTTTGCAAAAAACCATTTGTTCACTAAAAATCTGTCTGCGGAAAACTTAATTTCTTCATGAGCAATCGCACTTCAATTTATAGGGGTGATTTTCTTCAAGAGTAGCACTATCACGTACACTTAATAACAAAATGATTTTTTGCAGTTAAACTATTATAAAACGACTTTAAAAAGTGGGTATCTTTTTCCGTATAAAAAATGGAAATGATTTTGTTAATATGCATCATATCAAATAGCTGTGTGAAGCATTCGAAATCTGACATTTTTCTACGAATTTAAATAAACAGATTACCTTCCGATTATTAGGAGCCGAGATAACAATTTTTTTTCAAAAAGTCACTATAATTTTTAAGATTAAGAATTCCGTCTGGCATTAAAATTTATCAAGGAAGAATTGAATTTGCTGTTAAAAAAATTTCGAATTGTAACCTTGCAATTTTTAGTTTAGAAAATTTCTTTTTTCTTGAATTTTTATTTTTTCGGTTTATTGCTAAAAAATTACGTTTGAGTATGGAACGCATGTCTGATTAAATTTAAGTCATATTGGCTGGTTTCTTTATTTAATATGCTGTAAAAAGTGTCCAATTGGACAATTAAATGTACGGAATTATCAGTACAAAATTGTTTTTGTGAATTTAATTGTAGATGCAAATATGACATATAATTAATAATTAAACAAATTATTAATTAAACATATAATTAATAAGTAAACAAATATTTAATAAGTAATTTACCAAATGTTAGCGTAACTATTAAAGATATAACACTTTCGCAAATATAAAAATAAATTATTACATAAAAAATATATTTTGCAACTATATGTACAATTATAACAATGACAATTATGACAATGATAATTACGACAATTATGTAGGGATTTGCTGTTCATTCCATTTACGTCCATTCCGCTCCATGGGAATGAAGGAATTCAAAGCCGCGTAACGAAAACTGCGGAATATTTGTGATTGATTCTGCTCTCGTTTCGTGTTACGCTATTTTGCTGCATGGATTTGCACCCTAATGCCTCCGACACACCAGCGTGATGTTCGTCGCGCGCAACACGCGATGTGCAATAAGCGTGCTTTACCGATATTATCATTCTAAAGGTATATTGTCATTGGATAACATCACGCTGGTGTGCCGGAGCCATAAGGCCGGGTTTACACCTTGACGGAAAAGCGGAAAAGCGGAAGTCAATCGAAACTCGCAGTAGTAGGCAGTACGTATTCCGTACGTCTGCTTCTGTTTTTCCGCGAGTTCTGATTGATTTCCGCTTTTCCGTTTTCCGTTTTTTGTCAAGGTGTGAACTCGGCCTAAGAAGTTTCTCTATTCGTCTCATGTAGCCAGAATGGAATATCGCCTCGATCGCAAGGCATTAATTTGCTTGATTTAATCGATATTTCGTAATTTTAATGCGACTAAAGCAGCTATAACATTACTTTGTATACCCAAAAATACTGAACTATTAGGTCATCTAAAAAATATCCACGGTTTTTTGTCACTAGATGTGTGTTGATGGTCATATATCTAGTGACAAAGTACCGCGGATACTTTTTAGATGACCCAATATAAAAGTGAAATATTGTATATTGGGTCATCAACACCATCTAGTGACAAAAACCGCGGATACTTTTTAGATGACCCAATATTTTGTTACTAAAATTTGATTCCGTTCCGGTTACACGGGACGGATAGAGAAAATTCTTAAGAAACGGAATGACATATTCAGCTAAGTTTATTGAAAAATTTATCTAAAAATTTAAATAAATATTCAGAACCTTTTTTTTTGGGAAAAAAAACACTCGCACTAAATCGAACACAATCCGAATATTAGACTAATCACGGCGTGCGACATCGGCCAAGCGAGAGTAAATTATCCGATGTTGTCTCATAATAATATAAACTATTTATACTTTATTATATCTGTTAAATGATGATATTTTTATTATATCTATATAACTTCGTTATTAGTTTAAAGTTGTAATTAAAGTAGAGAATGAATAACATTTACCAATTGAAGAAGTAGCGGGTAACGTAGAAGATTCATCCAGAGATCACAGATTCGAATCTCTAAGATGCGTTTTTTAATATCAATTTAAAGTAGTTAATTTCAGATATAATTATTATAAATGTCTTAGGAAAATTTGTAACTCTTTTTTTATCGAATATTAAACAAGTGTCAGCTCGGATCCAATCCATTTCAATCCATTCAATCCATTTTCATGAATTTAAAGTACGCATTAAAAAAATTTTAATCCATTCTCGTTTGCTGGGTATTTAAAAGGGTATGAAAATTGTATTTCGCTTATAACATTTTATTACAACATTAAAAATATACAAGAAAATAAAAATTCTGTCTACGTCTAATGTTTACAAAGAATAAGGCGTCTCCAAGGCGCAAGTGACAATTTAGTCGTTGAAATGCAAACGACTGATGAAAAGTTCTTCAATTACTTCATAATGATACCACCATAACAGCACAAACGTCAATATATGTCTACTGTAAGTTGACTTTGCTAAGTCAGGCCTTTAGAATCGACTGTAAGTCGACTTTGTACAAACGTCCTTCCAATATCTACTTTCGGACGTCTAATGCGATTTACGCTAATAAAGCTTAAATGTGGAATCATTTTGTCCTTGTTGTTTAACTAGTTAAACAAGGATGAATGCTGTTCATGAGCGTGTGAGCATGAATCGGACCACAGACTAGAATAGTTGACTTAAAGTCGTTTACAGTCGTCTTTAAAGTGGGACATTGTATGCCTTAGAGACGTCTCCAAGTCGTCTAAAGTCGACTTACGGATGTTCATTTTTCAGTCTAGAAGCTATAGTCGACTCGAAGTCGACTTAGAGTCAACTTCGTGCTGTTAGGGAATTATTTGAAGAATTGCTTAGGGCGGAATTATTTGAAGAATTGCTAGCATTAGTTGGACCACAACAATTATTGTGACAAAACAAACAAGAATGATGTCATATTAAAAAATAAAAATTATTAATTTTCTTCTTCGAACTTTATAAATTCTCAATCAGTAACAATAACCGAATCGACATAACATTCCGTATCGTTTCTATACCGTTCCGACTATGATTTTGATGGTTTCAATATGGTGAAGAAACTTTTTAAGCCTTGTGTCCATAATGTTAGAAATCAGTCCGAAATCTCGGATGAAAAAAGAATTGACTAATCGCAATCGTCATGTGATTAAATTGTTCAAATATGATTTGTTAATTTTTTCTTTGTCTGAGATCTCGGACCGATTTCTAGTATCGTGGACATCGGACTTTACGGAATGGAATGATAGTAAACTCATTTCTAGTAAGAAATCTGTTCCATCGTTCTCTAATTCTGTTAAGGCACTAGATATAGATATTCTCATTCGCTATCTTAGTTCTATTTAATTAATAGATTATAGCATGATTAATGACAAAGATAAATGTTAAGAAGAGCACAAATTTTGATAAAAATACACTGAATCGATATGTTTTCACGTATAAATAAAAGTTTGACAAGAAAAAAGTATCACTCTGCTCCGCGAACCGAGATATAATCCTTAAAATTGACGACTATTCGGATTAGAAAATCTGTCATAACAGTGGTTCACTATGCTTTAAAAACATAAATTCTCTGCTAAAGTATTAAATTTGTATTTTAAAAGCAGTGAATTTGTTTTGAAAATAGTGAACTACTATTGTGACAAATTTCTTAATCCGAATAGTCGTCGACTTTAAGGCTTAATGTCACGGTTTGCGGAGCAGAGCAACACCTTTTTCTTGTCGAATCTTTGTTTTTACGCGAAAATGCATCAATTCAGTGTATTTTTATCAAAATTTGAAGTAAGCGGACTTTTCTTAATTAACACTATCTTTGTCACTAATCGTATCTCTTGAATGTGCGACAAGTGACAGTATCTTTGTCACTTATACTATGTACACTCAAGTGGAACTAAAATGGTAGATGAGAATACTTACATATTTAGTGCCTTAATTCCGTGTACGATAAGGGTCAAAGAGATTGTAACACTTTTTTTTGATGGATTTTGACGTAGCTTGCTCATCAAGTAATTGGTTCTTATTCATGGATCGATAAATAAGGGACTTCACACAATAAAAGAAATAGAAAACAGAGAATAAGAATTTCAACTTATCAGAAATCATGTATTGTGGAATACATAGTTTCTGATTGAAATTCTTATTCTTTGTTCTCTGTTCCTTGTTCCTTTTATTATGCGAAGCTCCTAAGAACCAATTGCTGGATGAGTAGGTTGTATTCCAAAACCCATCGAAAAAAAAGTGATACAATCTTTTAGTCCATAGATCTGTTTGCGTTGCTCGCATTTTTTGCACTCGTCATCTTCGCTTTCTTTCTTTTCAAAACCAAATATATATTTATTTCATTTTAAGTGCATAAATTTGGGGATTTTATGCAACGCGAACAGACCTTATGATATTATATTGGGTCATCTAAAAAGTATCCGCGGTTTTTTGTCACTAGATGTGTGTTGATGGTCATATATCTAGTGACAAAGTATCGCGGATACTTTTTAGATGACCCAACATACATGGGACGGCATGCTAAAGTCTTATGTCCACAATGC